ATTGTGACAAGATCAAAAGACATTGCTCTGTTGAATGATATTCATTAATCCGATTCAACAGGGCATTTCTAGGTTAAATCGACCTTATATTTCCTTCCTACACTAATCATTCTAATGCGCAGCTTTGCTTGAAAAAAATTTACTTAATACTTTTTAGGGATTTCATCATTATGATTTTTCTCATATCGATATTTTTGATATTGAAAGATATCGATATATCGCACAATATTGAAAAATCTGAATCATATTATCTGATTATGTATTAATTGACTATAACGATTTAAACTGCAACTCCGCTAGAGGGATGCATCATTTTTGCCTAAACAGATGATTTGAAGCAAGGCTAAAGCGTTAGACTAAAAGAGGCCCTACTGTGTGAATGAAAGAGCTTCCGTTTCAATTTCAATTTCCATTGTTTCATCTCACCATTAAAGTCATCAGCAACCATCATAATTAGTATGGACACCACAACCATTATATTTTATATTCTTGTATTTGCAGTGTTATATGCTATTGAAATACCTCAATGCTACTGGTATCGCTTTGAACATTACTGGTGGCCAGACAATATTCAGGTAAAATTTTCAAATGCGAAATATCATGTACTCAAATTTTGACTTATTAAATCATTTTTTTAGCCAAAGAACAACGCATTCAAAAACAAGCACATCAACTCATTTAGTTTTATAAGAAATTTACTGAATGGCTCCAATTCAGTTAGCCTGACAAAAGATCAAGCAAAAGATTTAGATGGGAAATTTACCAGATATTATCCAAAAAGACGTCCTGGTACTATCACAATTTTGTCAACGAGACCATCGTTTAAAGATTACAAGCATTTTTTCGGTAACTGCTATTACACCGAAAATGCTGTTAAATTTTATGACTACATGCGAAGAAAAATTGTCGAACGCAATCAACGATTATTTGTAAGTTTCGCAGATCGTGATGGGAAAAATTTTGAAGTCCACATGCTCAACCAAAATCGTTATTGGTGGCTCCTAATTTTGTACAAAGGATCTATGATTTTGCCAAATTTTATATGGTTATGTATTCGTATGTTATATTCCCTATCTATTAGCATTTTAAGTAGATGCCGAAGTTAGCCGATGCAGTAAGTCATAAAATCTTGGTCGATAAAATTGCGACCAAGACTAAGTCGATACACTCGAATATCGACTAAGCTGACTCAATAGCATGAGATCAAAAAACAATGTATTCCGTCTCTGAAAGGCTGGGCAAAATCATAAATTCGTTGAAATTTCTTTATTTCTCAAAATTAAAACTGAAAACAGTGAAAATGAGTGTACTTGGTTGACTGATAGTCAGTCAGTCGTTCAACAGTCGGAGTCGACTAGGTCGACTTACACTCAGTCGGTCACTCTAAATTCATTATTCAGCCAATCAATGCATCGACCAACTTCTGTGTCTAATTTTAAGAGCTCGTCAATAGAGTTTGAGCTTGAAGGGAATAAGCATCAATATTTAGTCTATCGATTGATTTGGTCATCACACAAATAATCATCGAATAATAAAGTTTTATTTAAAAAAAAAGAATGAAAGATTTCTTTTTGTCTTCAATAGCATCAACAGATTAGTTTTTATTTAAACAGCACTCAACAAAACTTGAGCTATCGATACATTGCCCAATCGGAAACCCAAATCAGCCTATCTGATTATATATTGAAAAGATGACTTATTAATTGACTGGAATGTTTAATGTAACTCAGAGTTGCATAGTCACATACAGGTGTTAGCCTTAATTCAGTCAGATTTTCAGGTGTAATATCATGAGTAGTTCATATTAATAGTTATTAAAACAATGAAAGTGTTTCCATTTTAATTTCAATTTCCATTGTTTCATCTCATCGTTAAAGTCACCAGCAGCCATCATAATAGTTATGGAGTCATTATTCGCAAACATTATAGCTGTAATACTATTTTTAATATTTTTAGTGTTGTATTATGCAAAAATACCTCAATGCTATTGGCATCAAATTAAACAACTCTGGTCGCCAGACGATATTCAGGTAAAATATTAAAATATAAAATATCATGTTACTCAAATTTTGACTCATCAAATGATATTTTTTTAGTGGTTGAACGAGAAATTCCAAAACAAGCACACAAACTCATTCGGTTTTATAAGGAATTTACCTCTTAATGGCTCAGATTCAGTGACACTGACAAACAGACAAGCAAGAAATTTAAATTGCAATTTGGAAGCTTATTATACAATAAGATTACCTGGTACTATCACGATTTTTTCAAGGAGACCATTATTTGACCAATACAAGCATTTTTTCAGTAACTGTTATTATACCGAAAATGATGTTACATTTTATGACTACAAGCCAAAAGAGAGGACAATTGCCAAGCGCAAACAAAGATTGTTTGTGGGTTTCGCACGTCTTGAAGGGGAACCATTGAAAGTCCATGTGTTCCATCAAAATTGTTATTGGTGGCTTTTAACTTTGTACACAGGACTCATGTCTTTTTTGTTCATGTTGTTCAATTTTACATGGTTCTGCATTCAATCGTTACCTGTGATATTTTCCCTATCTATTAGCTTTTTAAGTTTTAGCTATAAATTAATTAGTCTGCCATTCAATGCAGGTGGATACTTACTTCGGTTTCTAATTTCAAGAGCTTGTTAATAGAGTTGAAGGAAAAATATCGATATTTAGTATATCGAATCAATCGATATATCACATAATCATTTTATAATAAAAGTTTTATTTCAACAAAAAGAATGAAAGATTTCTTTTATGCTCAATATCAACAGATTAGTTTTTATTTTAACAGCACTCAAAAAAACTTGAGCAATGAGTTTTATCAAGACACTCATATGAAAAGTGGAAAATTTATGCTCAATGATTCAAAGCTCAAGTCACATCAAGTTATTATGCATTATTAATGTTGAAGACTAGACGAGACCGGAACAAAGATATCTTTGATTTGAACAACACTCGCTGTGATGAGCTCGACGGCCATTTATCATTACTCAGACAATTCATGGCGCAATGAGAAACTTAACGAAAAAGTTTAATCTTACGTGGTTTACGCAATGATTGTCTACTGGTAAAAGTGTTCACATTACTGAACATCATGCAATTTTAAGAGTTTCATGTAGACAACCTCTGGGTGTAATTAAATGTCCTAATGTGAGAACAAGAGTTGAAACATGTTTTATCTCATTATTAACTACAGACCAGTAGATCGAGAGTTAATGAGGAAAAATATTTTCGTCTTCGTTAATTTCATGGGTTGTTCATTTCCAAACGTTAATCACACTGGGTTAATTAGTAATTAAGCAACGAGACATCAAACTCAACAAAACACTGAAAATAATGTTGTCTTTATAATGATGATTACAAGGAGGGAAAGGAAAATGTTAAATTGCTTCAACTAATAATTATTTTCATTGTGTTGATATTAATCTAATTTTTGATCACCTTTGATTGCTTCAATGTTATCAAATTGATTGGAACAATATGAACCAGAAATGAGCTTCAATCGACTAATCTAATCTCAATCTCATTCCATGAATTGTTATTTAGATCCGCAATGGATTGATCATTTTATTGATAATCAATTGTTTAATAGACAATTGGAAGAGTAAAAGATGAACACTTTCAACATTAGCATTTTACAGTTTTTTGCTTTCGAACTTTTGGAAAATCTCTTTTCAACTCATCATGTTTAACAATTTTTTGCTCATTTTTTCACTTTGTTTAGTTTTTGTTTCAGTACATTGTGAACCAGATTCTGCTGATTGTCCTGATCCCAAGTCGATTGAACCATGCCATTGTGATCGCGAGGGAATCTCCTGCTTCAACTCATTGGATGAACAAAAGTTGAGTCAAGTGTTTAAAGTACCAAATGGATACAATGCTTACCGGTCTGTTTGGATCACTCAAAACTCTATCTATAATTTAACTCGAAACATCTTTAATGGTTTACGAATTCAATCCTTTTTCATCGAAGAAAATGAAATTGAAACAGTTGAAGAAGGCGCTTTCACTGGTTCATATGAGATTGTTAAACAAATTAGCCTCCACCGAAACAAGATCAAGTCTTTTCCCTTTAATGGTAAGAGTTATTAAAAA